GGGCGTAGATTCACTCTTGACATTGGTGGGGACATACATAGAGCGCATGCTCTGAACAGCACAAATTCTGTTTCAAGCTTTTAAAAACATATAGAAAGTACATAATAAAAACAAATAAACACTTATTAATATAAAGACCAATCCTGACCCTTGCTGCAAAAGTATATTGACATGATTTTACTGCAGTCAGGCCTTGACGAGGTATGAAAGCAGAGAAATTCAGAAAGGTGTGTGGCAGAATTAAACAGTTTTATCCTGATCATTGTTTTTCATAATCATGGAGGCCAAAATGGAAACTGAATTTTAATTAATTGCTCTCCATTGGTTAATAGTATTACGATGAACTAGTAGCGAACTTGACTTGGTGCACGTGTAGGTTGAGAGTTGACGAATCATTTCTTTTTTTTTTTTTTGAAGTCGATTACATTATTGGTAGGGACATTTCAGTTATTGTGGATGCTGGTGGGGACACGTCCCCTCCATCCATGCCAATTCCACACCCAATAAGTAATAAGTAAGTATGTGCAAAATATTGTTCAAAATCAATTTATTCTAGCAATAATGATATCAGGGACGGCACGGTGGATCAGTTGTTAGCACTACTGTCTTACAGCAAGAAAGTCGCTGGTTCGAGTGGAGTTTTGAGTGGCATTTCTGTGCGTAGTTTGCATGTTCTTCTTGTGTTCGTGTGGGTTTCCTCTGGGTGCTCTGGTTTCCCCCACAGTTCAAAGACATGCGCTATAGGTGAATTGAATGAACTAAATTGACCATAGTGTATGAGTGTGAATGAGTGTGTATGGATGTTTCTCAGTACTGGGTTGGAGCTGGAAGGTCATCCCCTGTGTAAAACATACTGGATAAGTTGGCGGTTCATTCTGCTGTGGCGGCCCCTGATTATTAAAGGGACTAGGCTGAAGGAAAATGCATGAATGAATTGTGTTGGGACAACATGAAGGAATTATGTCGAGCATTTTTAGAATGGCAAATGTGATTTTGCTAGAATGAACCTAATAACTGTTAATCAATGAATTTAAAATAGGCAGCAATTACAGCCGACGCTTCATCATCCAGCAGAACATTGACCCAAAGCACACCGGCAAAATATCAATGCAGTGGCTTCACAACAACTCGGTGAATGTCCTTGAGTGGCCCAGCCAGAGCCCAGACCTAAATCCTATTGAATATCTCTGGAGAGAGATCTGAAAATGGCTGTACACCATCGCTTCCCATCCAACCTGATAGAGCTTGAGAGGTGCTGCAAAGAGGAATCGGCAAAAATTCCCAAAGACAGGTGTACCAAGCTTGTGGCATCATATTCAAAAAGACTTGAGGCTTTAATTGCTGCCAAAGCTGGATCAACAAAGTTTTGAGCAAAGGTTGTGAATACTGATGTACGTGTGATTTTTCATTTTTAATAAATTTGCAACAATTAAAACAAATCTTTTTTTCACATTGCCATTATGGGCTATTGTGTGTAGAATTTTGAGGAAATAAATTAATTTAATTCATTTCGGATTAACGCCATGTGGAAAAAGTGAAGCGCTATAAATACTTTCCGGATACACTGTATATTAGTCTTTCAAGAAATTCAAAATATGCCACAAATATCTCAAAACATCTGAATTTATTTAAAACGTATTCATCATTATGCTTCATTAACCCATCCAAAAATTTACATTACTGTCCCACTACCCACAGGGCATCAAATATATGGCAAGGAACTACAGTAAATGTTCTTCTGGCCTGGGCAGTGTCCAGAACTAGTGGAGAGAGAGAAGGAGAGAGAGCAGTCCATCTGGTATTATGGTTTGCCACATGGTGCCAGGCTAAAGAGCCCGTTTAGATGCACACAGAGCGGCTACAAGAGTGTGAAGTAGCCATGTTGGCACAGATAGGATTAGCACGCACACACACACATACTAACACATTTACAGATCACAGTTAACAGTTAATCCTGTTGGTGATGCTGGGAATTTAGCTCCTGTGTGTCGGTGCCAGGATATCAGCACACACACACACACACACACACACACACACACACACACTTTATTACTCATGGTCCATTAACTGTCACGTCGGCACTCCCCTTGATGTGACGTCAGAATGACGTCAAACAGTATGTCAGCACATTCATGGCAGTGAAGGCATTTAAGTTGTTTTTTTCTTCACCACTACAATAAAACGCAATGCTTAATATATTATAATTAATGTAAATCGTTTATTTTAGCTGTAAACATCGATGTAATGGCTAATCATCGACGTCTCAGCTCTGACTGAAGGACAATGCCGTGGACATTATGACATAACCTTTCATATCGTGACACTGGCCGCTGTTTCCAAAGCCTCCAGCAGAGGACGCGCGCCTTCTGTTCTCTGTCCCTTCACAATATGACCGGCAGGTGGCAGTATTTAATAGCATTCAATCACTAAACATATCTTTCAAATCACAAACATACATCTGAATGATTATAAATCATGGCACCATATAAAGAACCAAGAACATAAGCTAATATGTTTTCAGATTATTCTTAAACACTTCACTAGGATTTCAAGGAAAGTGAAAGTAGCATTTACTAGCAGCACTGAAGGAGATAAACAACATTTGATTGGCTGTTTAGAAGGAAGTGGTAGCATTTATAAATGCCATTACACACACAGTTGCATGACTTTGGTTCCTCTTCTTCTGAATGTGCCTTGTACTATTAATGTTGATGGAAGCTTGCAGTGGAAGAGCAGCAGAGGTAAAAGATGGAAGATTAAAGGGGGAAAAGGAGGAGAAAGAGCTCTGTCATAACTCTGGACTGGTTTCTGAGTTTGCATGTGATCACATTTGTCAAGATATTTCATTCGGAAAGGATACATTTAAAGAAATAGCATACGTTATTTTTGTAATTATTATTTTTCTATAACTATTATTAAAATGGCCAACAAAATTTAAGCTTCATTAAAAGTCCTTTCTTTAACAAGAAAAGTGACAAAAACACAACAAACAGCTTAGTATTTACAATGAAACTGAAGTGCCAGCAGTTTGTAAGGTCTAACAATAGAAATGTGAGGTTCATGATTTATATGAATTATTCAAACAAGCATTAATTATTTGATCCGTAACATTGCCAAAACGTTCCTTTTGAGGCAGGACTATTTTTACAGGTGGCTGGATGGATGAATGGATGTCTGCTGGTAATACATTACTAACATAATTTCTGTGGGTGTCCTGGTTTTACACAAGGCTTCTTCACAGACAAATTTCACATTGCTTGTGTGTTTCTAGATAAAGATCAAGTTTAAAGATTTAACTTGCTTCCGAAACAATTAAAGAGCCCCTATTATGGGTTTTTGAAAATGAGCTTCCATGAAAACATCCAGCTGAAATTTAAATCTGAAAGTGCACCGTGTTTAAAACTATTGATTCTTTAATGAAATAGTTGACTCAGTTGAAAAAATGAATCGTGTTGGATTCGGATCTTTTACCTAAACGCGTCAACGTCAATACAGTGTATCACCTAATATGTAGTGCTGGTTCTGGTAAAACATGAACGCGTCTTTCCCTTCAGACACTAGTGAGGTGCGGGGGATCACGGGACTGATCATGATGCGAAGATGATGATCATTGACAGATGAAGATTTGGCTGTGGGAACAAAAGGATTAAATTTTCACACCAACACTACAGTATAGCCCACTTAGTGCTGTTTGTTCTTGTCATCTTTCTGATGATTGGTACATTAAGCTATGCTGAAATGTGGGATTCGTCAGCTGTTTGCTATGAAAGGAAGGAGCAGCAGATACTATTATGTATGGGACTTCGTCAGACTTTGACAGGGACTTTGTCAGTAACTGCTACAGTTCATATGGACCAGTTTCTTCTTCCTCCGGATCATAACATGCAAGTGTAATTAAAATTGTTTTCTGTAGTTTGCTAAATATGTATTTAATATTGTTTTGTCAGTTGTAATCGCTCCGCACGGCTTGTAATCCCGTATCTATTATTGATCAGTGCTTGTATTGTATTTCTCAGGTTAAATCTTCATGGGCTATTTCACATATTGTGTCCAAAACCACGTTGAAAACACAATGCGTGCGTCTTCCTTTACAGTTTTAAATGCGTTTCTGAACTCGAGATCCTCTGCTGTTTGCCTTTGCTTTGGCCACCCTCAGCTGTTCCTCACACACGTGCCAAGGTCAATTTTCAAAATAGTTTAACTTTGCTACTGTGTGGATTAATACTGAATGTATTACTTGGAGCTAGGTTAAAGAGTAGAGTAATATGCTGGTGTCTAACTGCATTACTTTACTGCATTCCTGCATTGGGCTCTGACATAAGCAGGTCGCACACCAGAAGCGCCGCTCAGCGGCGCAGCGCCACGCAGAGCCATGTATTTTAGAATTCTAAACATAGGTTTCTATCAGGATACACACACCGGCACCGCAAGTCTGCGGCGCCCGGCGACGGCTCAGGACGCAGTTCATTTTTCAGCCGCGCCACAGAGCGCCATCTGATTAGTTTCATGTTAAATATCCTTCGAATGTGCGCGTCTGGTGTGCGATACTTTAAACTGTCATGTGCGCGCCGTGTCGCGGCGCCGAGCGGCGCTTCTGGTGTGCGACCTGCTATACTCTGTGTGCTACTTCATAGCTGTGGCGCGCATTTCTCTCTGTCTCATGCTGAACGCAGTTGACCAATCACAACAGACTGGGTCATCAGACCAATCAGCGCAGATTAGTTTCACGCCAAGGAGGGGTTTGGGAACAAATGAATTGCTGAATGAATGATATGGGAGTTGTTGGGATAATCAGGTAAAAATAAATGCATAATATCAGACAATGACAATGTTTTGACCATGCACGCATATCAGCATGTTGTTGGAGACCCCCAAAACCAAAAAATGATCTTTTATAATGCATAACAAGGGCTCTTTAATACTTGTAATATGTTTTTAAAATGTATACATAATTTGATAATTAGAAATAAAGTTCTCAAGTAGGAAGTTACTACAATTAAGTGTTTACTTTTTTTAATTGAAGTAATGCTTTATAAGATTAGCTGTTTTTACTGGATTATCAAATGATTAAATAATTGCAGCCTCTATAAAACATGCTGGCATGAGTCGACACTTTTCACTGGTAATCAACATTAGGCATGGGACGACAACCGTTTTCAAAGTGTCTCGAGGTATATTTCAGTGTCTTAAAAAAGCCAAAAGTTTTCTGCTATACCGTTTCTAAGGTGTGTGGAAAATTTTTTATTTACTTTTTAGTTTGTTTTTTTAAGCAAAACAGTGTCTCCAGCAGAAAACATATCTAAAGAGGCTGTTTTAAATCGTTAAAAAGTCTGTGTTATTGAAACAGCAAAAGTCAATGATTCATGTGAATTATTTAGCCTGACATGTTTAATGCTCCAAAATACTTTAAAAAAAAGTTTCTCAAAATAAAATACTTTGTGTTCAAAGGGGAAAAAGTTTTAGTTTTTTACCCTTACATTTAAAAAGAACATGTTTTAATCACAAAACCGTGATAATTTTATCCAAGGCCCATGCCTATTCAACATGCTGCGAATGCTGTCAGCACTCAATGCAGAACATTACTTTGGCAACAGAGATAACTTGAAATATTAATGCGATGGTCAAAATACAGGCGTGCAGCATAGAACATTTTGTGTGTGTTACTCCGCTTCTGAGATTCGCAGCACAGGTGAGCTGAAGTGAGAGGTGGCTGGAGCTGAACAAGTGCTCAAGTAACGCACAACATTACTGGATGAAGAATCCAGCTCCTCTGCCCGACTGGTTGTCTGCTCTTTGTCTGCTACCGTGGGCACTAATGTTGGCATAACATCTGGGCCCAGTAGGGATGAGCCACAGCACGCCATGTTTTGCATGTGCTGACAGAACACTTCCAGCATTTGGACCTCTAGATATCCATTCAGCATGGAGTTGGTCAGCCTTTTCTGCCAGTCAGGGCTGTGAGCGGATTCCATGACTAGATACTCCTCGTCTTGTTGGGTCACAGCCTGTTGGCTTGGCTTCAGAGAGGGCTCCAGAGAGCTCAGGTCCTGAGACTGAAGCAGCGGCCCGTCATCTGCTGGGTCTGGGTTTTGAGGACTCCAGGGCTCCAGTCGGTCACCACCAAGCCGAAGATCCGGATAGTCCTTGTAGATGCTGGGACAGCACCAGGAACAATACACTGACATGCCTAGGCGATCCTCCCTGTCACAGCTGTGAATGGGCATGGCTTTACTGGGAGCAGAGGCGCGGCACTGTCCTGCCTTCTTCAGGCTTTCAGGTCTGCCAGCTTACAGAAAGAGAAAACTTGTCAGGCACCAGCTTCATCTTAACACAGCACGTAAAATAAGCACATAAAACAGCGTGGAAACTTGAGAGAAAGCCCAGAGTCCAAAGCAGAGTCTCACTCTGCGGCTCACTTGATTAACTGAATGACTGAATGTCTTCATACAAATGCCGCTTTTGTCCAATTGACTTGGACACTCACCTCAATGAGAAAGTACTTGGAAAAGTTTGACAAAATGTTCTTATTTATATACACTGAATTTCAAACAGACTCTTTCAGATTATCATAGCTTTGAGCAACTCATCCCAATGCATAAAACGCTCTTTGGATCACTCCTATTCATTTTAAATAATTGACTCTGATTGGCTAGTGAAGATATTTTCCTGAAGATTTTATCTCCAACTCATTTGGTTTTGATTGTTTGGAGCATAGACTATTAAAAAATGATGGACGACTCTTCTCTACTTCCTTCCACTGTAGCAAAAAGTGTATCAAATCTGTCTCAGCATGGCCTGTCATCGTTTTTATGTAGATCCCAATTCTGCATAGTAGTGATTTTAGGGCTGGGCAATAAATTGAAAAGTAGTCAAAATTAGGGTTGCACGAATTACCCGTACTATGGTAGTATCGCAATACTATGGCTCCAAAATACTGCCGTTGTCGCTGTACTTTGTAAATGGTAGTATCGTCATTAACAATCTAAAATACGTAATGCTGCATGTGGAAAAGTCACTAAAAAGCCCACTCGCTTGTGACACAATAGACCATTTTACTAGAAGAGTGTGTAGCCCTTTAAAGTTGCAAAACTGTAGAATTTACGCATTTTATGGCAGCCTATTGCAGGTTTTCTGATGCTTCAGTTCTAACGCATATCTGAATCAGTTCATTTCTGTTCCTGTCAATATGATTTAGTAGCTACAACAACTGTGACAATCTCTTAAAAAGAATGACTCACAAAGTGACATTTTTAATTACTTTGGATTGTTACCTGATAAGACTGAAAAAAAACAATAGATGAAAAAAACAAAATAGCAACAGGAAACATTAAAACAATTTTTGAACACTTCATATAAGCAAATTGTGTTAAAAAAAATGCTCTTTTTGTAACGAATTTCAATCGGTATAATTGGTTTCTTTATTTTAATGTATTTTTGTTATTCAGTTATCTATAAAATAAACAAAATTTTAGGTGAAGTTATGTGCTAATACTTTTTGTTCAATAATAAGGAAATTATTAATTAAATTCAACTAGGCCTATTAAAATGTAAAAACAGTATATAATACAGTCCATTTTCTTTTTTCATAGGTTTGAGTTATGAATTACAGTATCGCAATACTACTTGGTATCACAATACTTCGGCTGGTATAGTATCATAACGTGAATTACTGGTATCGCAACAACCCTAGTCGAAATCGACATTCACAACTTATAATCAATCAATTTTTTCCAGGATGATTTTCCACTTACTTTCTCTACCATGTGTGTAGTCACATGACCCCGTTCTGTTAAGGCTGATTTATACTTTTGCAGCCACATCTGATCTCTGGTCAAGTAGGACGATGGACCCATTCTTGAGCCTTAGTTTGCAATACATGATTGGAAGCTGCGCCGGAGATGCCCAGAGACAGTATATGGTCATTACACTCAAATTATTATTTACATAAAATTATTTGCTTACAGAAGGTGCAAGAAATCCAATGTTTAAAATATTATTTACAGGATATACGAGAGTTATATTATTTCAAATTAATTTTGTTTCCAAAAGTGCTATTTATTTATTTATTTATTTATTTATTTTATAAGAAAGATTGACTGTTCATTTTAGACAGTGTGTGTTTTAATTTCAGTTGTTCGACATTGATGTTCAATAGATAATCATAGATGGTGTGTGTTTATGTAATGCTTCCTTCATTCAAACATCTCTCACTTGTAATATGTGAACATATTTACTGTACAAAACTTGTCAATGAACTATAAGGGCAAAAAAAAATCATTCAATAATCTTAATCGAGTTCAAATGTTCAGTTAATCGAGATTTTGATTTTGAAATTACCCAGCCCTAAGTGATTATTGGCGTTAGGTAAGAATTAGTATCATTCAAAATCCCACACACCCAATCGCAAGCATGCAATCGTGAGTATCAGATCAGCAAACATAAGAAGAACACCTGAACATGCATCAGCGTATGTTGGAGAGCTGGTCTAAAAAGCTTCGGTGCATCTGACAATTGAATATTTCCCTACTATATGTGATAGTGTGTGAATTCAGAGTACTCTCAAAACACAAGGTGCGAAATACGCAGATGACCTATAATTTCCACTGAGAGTCTGAAGTGTGCTTGCAGAGGAATCTTTAATATCCCATGAGGCCACAGGAGAGGATGGAAGTGAAGCTATGCTGGTAGTAGACAACATGGCAGATAGCGGGTAGTGCATCTGAATTCAATACAACTTATATTCATGCTATGTTGAACATACTTTTAACAGTCATTATGTTCAAATTCAATAGCACATCGACTACTCTGACAGTATGCAATTTCAGATCAAGCATTTAATTAGCTGGACGAGAAATGTTTAAATAGTGTTTCATTAACCGAGTAGTGACGTGAATCTCAAAGACAACATATTTTATAATGGTGCATTTTGTTTTTTTACTGGTTTAAAATTTAACCTCAATGTGTGAGCACATGTCTATTAAAACACACAGTATACGTCCAGTTTTCCTGAATTTTTAGCTATAGATATAAAACACCTATTTTGTAAGATAAAGGTTCCTTTGAACACCAGTGAGAGACTACTGGTAGGCTACATTACTTGGAAAAAAGTCTTGTTGTCTATCCAAGTTTAAGAAACAACAAATAATAACTTGACTTCTAGTTGATCATTTGATATCAGAAGTGGCTTATATGAAAGGCAAAAGCCGCTAGATTATGCTGATTTTACCAAAATAAAATATCATGCCTTGATTTTTAATGATTTAATTTGGACAGTAAGGTCTGACTTTGCTTAGAAATCTTGTTACCCAACAGAAATAATGTACAGTATAGAACATTAAGTCATGGTGCAGTGGAAAAAGAATTAATATCGTGTATGACTCCCATGAGCTTGGATGACTGCATCCATACTTTTCTGCAATGACTTAAATAACTTATCAATAAAGTCATCTGAAATGGCAAAGAAAGCATTTTTACAGGACTCCCAGAGATCATCAAGATCCTTTGGATTCATCTTCAATGCCTCCTTCATCTTACCACAGACATGCTCAAAAATGTTTATGTCTGGTGACTGGGATGGCCAATCCTGGAGTACCTTGACCTTCTGCTTTCAGGAACTTTGATGTGGAGGCTGAAGTATGAGAAGGAGCGCTATCCTGCTGAAGAATTTGCCCTCTCCTGTGGTTTGTAATGTAATAGGCAGCACAAATGTCTTGATACCTCAGGCTGTTGATGTTGCCATTCACTCTGCAGATTTCTTGCACGCCCCCATACTGAATGTAACCCCAAACCATGATTTTTCCATCACCAAACTTGACTGATTTCTATGAGACTCTTGGGTCCATGCGGGTTCCAATAGGTCTTCTGCAGTATTTGTGATGATTGGGATGCAGTTCAACAAATTATTCATCGGAAAAACCCACTTTTCCAAATGATTAACTAAAAGTCAAGTTATTATTTATTGCTTTTACAAGCATTATTTAGGGGTTCAACCCCCACCCCATAATTGGCATACTGGTTAATTGCTAAACTCTGCTGGACAGTGGGCCTCCAGGAAAGAGTTTTGTAACCCTTTTTCTAAAGTGTGCAATTATTTCCAGTCAAATGAACAGCTGAAGTACTTCAAGTCAAATCTCCACTACATTGTAGTTCCAAACTATTACACCACTGTTATTTAGGATACAAATGACAAACTGTGAAAATATAATTGCTTTCTTTGCTCACCTTTCATGCATAAGCACACTAATACTGTACAGACAAAGCACTTGCAAACTGAAAACTTTTTCGTTGCTGCTTTTCTTTCGCAACTTAAAAGCATATGTGCATGGTCCATGAGGGTTGCCAATCAGAGACAGTTGTGCTTGTGCCATGGTGGATTCACTATTTACATGGTGGAATTTGCAACTGCAAGAGCAAAACACTTCAGAGAGCAAACCAATCTGCTCATGCTCCAGGTTCTGAAAATGATAACTGCATTGGGCTAAAACTAGCCAGTAAGTGTACGATAGGGCCCTTTGTATTACCCTTATTTGTGTCTATCAGCGCCTTTTTACAGATTAAACATGCAGAATCAGCAATTCATGGGTTGTAAAATGTCTCAGATTTGATCTGCTGTTCTGCATCTGTTGGTGTGGAGTAAATTAGCTTTTAAACCGGAAGCATATCCTTTTATTAGCCCCCATGTTTATTTTTTTCCCCAATTTCTGTTTAAAAGATTTAGTTTTTCAACACATTTCTAAACCACAGATGAACAATAGATGCCCACATTAGCTATGTTTCCATCTAACTATTTTTTTTTTAGTGCATTCTGGATTATCACATACATTTTTACTTTTTACTAAACTTATGCACATAACTGAGAAGAATACACTTTTTATTTGACAAGAAAAATGTGCACAAACTATAGTGGAAAGAAAACACTTTCACAGAATAAATTCCAGTAATTTCAGTATTTGATATTTGGCACCAGTTTTTCAGAAAGTTTTCAGAAAGAGATTTTGTTCTCTTTGGTTCATTGGATGGAAACTCTGCATTGCTCGCAAATCTTTTATGCGATATTCCACGTTTGTGCATAAATTTAATTAGCATATTTGAATACCTATTGACTTGTGTGATGAAATTTATGCAATTTAATCTTAAACGAGTACAAAAGGCAATCTAATTGATCATTATTTTTAGAGAGAGAACGTGCAGATGTTTTCTTGTGTTTTGCTTTCTAGTGTGCATGTGTTGAGCACCTTTGCATGCACAGTTGCAAACACACTAACAAATAGACGATTTGAAATGCAGTGGGCGCATAAACATTAACTTGCACATACAAATAAAAAGTATACTTTGGGCTTTAATTTGTCTTTCAGTCTGTAATATTTGCATTAGTGACTGCAATTGTTTGCAAATCAATAAATCACCCCTTTGTCGCTATCTCTAAAATGACCTGTTAAACTAGCATTGGAGTATTGTGATGAGATGTGGTAGAAAATAGTGCTGCACAGTGGAACATTTGAAGAAGCATATGACATGAGTGTAATAACTGTAATATTTATGGAATAGTTGTCTCTGGTCCAATTAATAGCATCTCTTTCAAGGGAATGCATTATTTGCTGATAATGCAATGACATGTTATTAATTAATCCTTACATAAACAGCTGAAACACTTTCAATTTAGTGTTCTGTAGATAAATTCAAATGAAGAATTTGCATAATTGATGAAAATTTTGGGTGAACTGTACTGCATTATAATTAACTGTATATTGCTCTGCTCAATTTAACACTTGCATATGTGGCTTTACAGTCGGTTGGCTTCAATTCTCAGCAGCATTGCACTTCCTTCCTCAATTTAATTCTTACATGTGTTTGCTGCTCCTGGGCCACATTCACAGTCTATAATTGATACTGCTTCATTTTTAAAAAAACTATTAATTTTCCTCAATCATAGCAAAAAACATCCTAATGCACTCAGCTAGATCATGACTTTAAAAAGTATTCTCATCTTAATAATACCGAAATCTACATTCTCTCACCTCTCACAGTTCGGGGTGTCAGAGCTGGTCTGGCAGTGGCGTTTGTTGCGTCAGGACAGGTCACAGAAGGAGATGAGCGTGCACGATTGTATCCGTCATGATTTGTGGCTTCTTCTGTGCAGTTCAAAACATAAAGGGAAGCTTCTCCAAGCATGATAGTGACCTACACACACAAACACAGATCAAGCTCTAGTGAATGAAAGTGTCTGATGTTTTCTCAGAATAAAATACAAAAGCACAGTTTAATCAAAGTGAAGACGACAAAATCAAACACTCAAGAAGCACTGAATGAAATCAAGCGGAAATGAGGAATTTACCAGAATTGAATGAGTTATGGAAACTTCATCCACAAATGCAGTGACTGCACTTCCTTAATAAATGAATAGCTTTCATCAGATAAGTACAAATTACAAAAGACAAAAAACATTTTATTAAATTGGAATCACTTTTGATTCCAAAAGTATATTCCAAATAATAAAAACAAAAATAATTGTTTTAAAAAAAAACTGCTTTTATTCTAGCTGGAATACAGCTAAAAAAGTATTTCTCCAGAGGAAAAAAATATTATCAGACACACTATGAAAATGTCCTTGCTCTATTAAACATCATTTGGGAAATATTTAAAAAAGAAAAAGGGGGTTTAATAATTCTGATTTTAACTTTATATGCTATTATCAGAAAACGCAATAGAGTAAAGTTAGTTTTAAATTCAGATATTCAGACATGCTCCTTAATAATATCATTTCAGAAAAGTATTCTTTGCAAATTCTAAATAGGGAAATCATATTAGCAGCAAATGACTATCAAAGTACAACATTTCTTACTGTGAATTAGTGTTAATGTTGTTTATAAGTCATGCTGGCATGCTAATTCCAATCGAATATTCAGAGTAAAATGGTAAACAATATAGAGACTGCTAAATAAACGAATGTGCGAATATAAAACCAACTTTACCTCTATGAAAACGTACATGAGATGCATGATTAATTTAACAGACACATGTAAATTTATGTTTGAAATGGCCTTTTTAAAGGATAGTTCACCCAAAAATTTCATTTCTGCCATCATTCACTCCTTGTTTACTTGTTTTAAACCTTTATAAGTTTCTTTCTATTTTTAAATATAAGGGAAATTACTTTGAAAAACTTTTAACCATTGACTTTGTAATTCCTACTATGGCAGTCAATGTTTACGGTATTTCAGCTTTCGTCAAAATATCTGCTTTTGTTTACAACAGAAAAAAGAAACTCGTAAATGAGGTAAAGTTCACACATTCAGATTTTCTCCTAATACAATTTCAGAAAAGTATTCTTTGCAAATTCTACATTGGGAAATCATGTTAAAGTCAACGACTGTTAAAGTAAAACATTTGATCACAGTGAAATAAATAGTGCTTATATTGTTTTGAACAGCAAATTTTCATATTTGGTTGAAATTTCCCTTTAGGTCTTCAAGCATGTGGATGTGATGAACATAAATGTGAAACAACACCCCAATTTTGTTAAGAGGCATTCTAAAAAGTTCTGATAATAAATAATTATTTACTGTATTACTGAATATTGTAATATATGTTTAAGGTACTTACCGAATGCTTGTTTGTATGGCTGCACAAACAGAAATATGATGACTGAAAGTAATTCCCTGTAATGTCCAAAGAACAATATCTCTTTGGGATATTCCTTTCATCTATCTGTTCTGAGATGTTTTCTCTGGGCTTTTGTCTCTGGTCTGGGTAGCAACAGAGGAAGTAAGCAGTTATAGATCACACACACACACCCAAACACATACACAGATTAGGCCTCAGCTGTTTGAGCAAAGCAGAAGTGAGAAAATCTTGTCTGCTCTTTTCTATTATAGACATGCACTCACAGAGGCACATTTTGTTTCATTATATTAGCATGTTTTCCTAGAAAATGCTCATAACTTGATATACATCTGCTCACCTGTTTCAAACAGTACAGTCAGCAGCAGTAATTAATGAAGTTACAGGAAGATGCAGATGTGTTGTGGTGATTCAGCACATGCAGACACAGTAAGAAATTAGCTTAAACGTTCATTTTCACATATGTACTGTACGACAGAACATCATTTAGTGCAGAACATGCTCACACGGGACTGTACGTTTTGAACATGTTGGGAGGGAATTTTTACAGGAAGATCCTCCGCTGGATTTACACCTCAGGATTTCGCGCGTAAAAGCAGAGCGGAGGTAAGATTCTGCCTCTTCTGTCGCGAGCCCAGACGCGCGCTGATTGGACGAGCAGAACATCAGTCTTAGCGCGGCGCCGCCCCCACCCTCCCATTCAACCACTGGCTCTAATGTAGCCCTGTGTTTACTACAGAATTAGTGCATAGCGGACGACAGTCTCCTGAACTGTGAACTCCGAATCACAAAAGATAACCTGTTAGTTTTGCATAAAAGGAGAAAAATACCCCAAACTCAACATGCCCAAGAGAAAGGTATGTAGAAAAGCCGAGCGCGGCGAACGGCTACACTTTTGCCCTTACTAATCAGTCGTGAAATTAGGAAGCCCTCGAGACAATGTTTTTTTAATAAAAATCCAGGCGACTTCTTTAGCATCTGTGGGCAGATAAAAAATCGTTGTTAATTTGCCGATTTTTCCTGGCGGATCGCGGTGTTTTTGTCGACGGTGGCGCGTTCAGCAGGAGGGTTTTAGTGGAGCAGCGCTGTGCTGAAGCTCGGCTTGATCTCATGCCCGTGGAACCGCAGCCATGCTGCCCTCTCTCTCCATCTCCAGCACAGCGCGACGGCAAAACCGACGATTATAAGCGCAATCGTGCCTCTGCCGCCGTCGAACGGGGATTAAAAAATAGCTGGATAACTCTAATTTTCGTAATGGGGGCAAATTGGCGAAAAGGCAGTCGGGTTTTTAAACAATTTCAACGCATTTTCTTTGTTCGTGGTGGAAGAGGGGTGTCATGACGCCTGCTTGCCGCCAGGTGGCAGCGCTGAGGCGGGATCATCGCGCCCCTCCTCCTTATTCAAATATGTGGAGCCCGTGTCGTGAAATGCCTTCTTGAAAAATAATAAATAAAGAATCTGCACACCATTTTGCTTTCCCGTCCGCTGAGAACTAAACTGAAACGTAGTTCACCGTGTGAAGACCATTTAAACACAAATAAAGAGAAGTACAGACGTTTTCTGACAGGCCAGCATGTTGCTCACATTTACAAACGTGCAGAACAGCACATCCCAATGTTTCTGCTAGTTACCTTTTTGTTTTTCCCGCCATTTATGTTAATAATATTATAGGTCATGTTCTAACTTGTGTTTTCTGTTTTTGTTGATTTGCAGGGAACTGATGGAGAAGTCAAGGAGGAGGTACGAAAAGAAAACCTAAAGCAATTTTTGGGTTGCATATTTAAGTAATCAAAACCAGCACAAATGCATTACTCTGTATCTACATCTATTTGTTTGGCAGGCAGTTTTTCCATAATCAAATGAAACACCACAAGCAGTTTCTCATAATAGCCAATATTATTTGCTGTACATTGTGGCACTTTATAGCATAAGCTTGCATAGTTCACAAACAAGAGATGAAGTGAAAAGAACAGAATTTAATACACAGGACATGCAGTTAATATCTATTATTTTGTGCCTGCACTCAAATAACATATTTATTTCATTGCTCTTGTAGCCTCAGAGACGGTCTGCAAGGTTATCAGCGGTAAGTTGATTTCTTTTTAAATGTTACCATTACTAAATTATGATGAGATGAAAGAATTAATGAACTTTAAATAGTTTTGAAAGTTGTCTTGAGTTGATTTTTGAGACTTTTTTTTGTTTATTGAATTGTCATGTTAAGCATTCGGGATCGAACAGAGCTGTTCTCTGCACTATAGTAAATATATTTGACCACGATAAATCATTGTTTCCATTTCTATTTCTGTTCTGTTTTTTTTAACAAATCCTGTTTTCTTTTCCCTTCAGAAACCAACACCTCCGAAACCTGAACCAAAACCGAAAAAGACTCCTAAGGTACCTGCAGTAATAACACTTTTTTAATAAACACACACACACGCATATGTACAGTAAATCTATCGCTTGTTTTAATATAATAGTAGGTAATATTTTGTGTATCTATATTCATTATTTGGCTTTGTTTTTACATCTCTGACAGAAAGACAAGGAGGTGAATGATAAAAAGGAAGATAAGAAGGCAAAGGGAAAGGCTGACGAATCGAAGGAGGAGAACCAGTCAGAAAATGGGGAGACTAAGACCAACGAGGTATATAAAACAAACATACACATCAGTTTACCTCAGATCAGTGTCTATCAAGTAAACTTGTTATTTGTGACATTGGAGGGGAAAATAAAGATGTATCTCCAGTTGTTTGGTGACAAATAAAAAGTAAAAGCCATCAAAACTTGTTTGTTTTGAATGGAAATTCAGTACAGATTCATATTTCTGTCACATTTCCTAAAGTACATGCACTTGGTAACAGTTAAATTATCTTAAAACAAGGATACTTATTCTATTTTCAACTTCTCTATCTGTTGAGAAAGATTTGGAGTGGTGTAAAGATGTTTTATTTTAAATCTTCGTATTTTTGTTTTTACAGGTTGAGAAAACTGCAGACGAGGCGGCAGAGGGCGAGAAGGACGACCCGAAGACAGAGTAGCAGCACGCCTGTCCATCCGTCCATCCATTCTTTCCCTTTCCTCTCTTTCTATTCTTTTATCTTCCCCCTTTCCCTGTTTTCTCTCTCCCTCTCCAGCTCTCTCAACAACCTCCTCTCTGCCCATCACCACCAGAGGAATATTTTTATCAGCAAATTTGTAAATACTGGTTCAGGTTTTTAGCACAAAAAACAAAGCTGACTAAACGAGTCTTGTGTTCGGCCGCAGCTGTATCAGGTGTCTACAACACGAGAGGTGCGGAAAAAGGCGGCGTCCTTCTTTGCTTTTGTTGATTTGTCTGTTTTTATTTCTTTTACTTATTTTAAGCGGATGGTCTGTAGCGTGGTTTTGGAGTGGGAGGCGGGAGGAGGCTCTCAGTCTGTATGTCCGTTAGTGCTTGTGATGTTGCTCTGGAGTCTGTGATGTTTCTGTATGGGGTTTGTTTTATTTTGTTCTTTTAAACGTAATGGATTGTCTTTAAGAAAGAGGAACGAGTTTGAAAATTGTAGAAGAAAAGAGAGAAAACAACTAAAGACAAACTGCTTACATTCCAGGTTCAGCATTAGATGGTGACTCCTGGCTTTTTAAGAATCGTAACACCTTTACAATTTGTTGAAACAGATAACTAGGCTTTGTTATGAGGCCAGAAAAACCCTTCTGTTGTTATAGAGGACTTTTTTGAAATTATGGGATTTAAGACACAAAAAAAATTCAACGCGTTTTTGAAGTTTTTTTAACACTGAAAATTCATCTGTGAAAAGTACCTAGTGTCCCCTATAATGCTCTCGGTCTCACTCAATAAAAATCCATCATTGGAGTTTTCCTCAAAATGACTGCTGTGACTTTTTCATCAGTTGATTGCTGTGTATTGTACACTGACTTATATACTGGGTTCCACTGCACATGCAGTTTAATAACCTGCTGTTATCTATTATAAAGTAGTTGCTGCACTATTATAACTCATAGTGGATTTCAGCACTGGCTCACAGTGCATTTTAAATGTTAACAAATAATTTTAATTGCCTCAGTACTTCACAGTGGAGACAAACACCTTAAATACATGATATTGCTCGACAAATAATCCGATAAAATATTTTTTTACTCAAACTCGGTGGAGAATTTTGCTGTCATTTAAATGTTACTACTAATGTTATTCTACATACATTTGAAAAATTCAGGATATGAAGAAGACTAACCTTTAAAAACTTCATTTCTGAACTATATGAGCGTAAACAAGACTTTGCTGGGATGATAAAGGATTTGAAGTTACTGTATTAATGTAAAGACCAATATTTGTTTTATTTGTTATTTACACTTAGAAATGCATAAAAATGTATATTTTGTGTTTGATAGAAAAGGAGGAGAAAAAAGGATTTCAGGCATAAATACAGCACTAAATGCATATAGATGGCTATAAAAGATTATTTCGGTTCTTGGTGTGGTACTAGTTGAATGTATTTGAACATCCATAACAGCCAATAAATATTGTTGAGTTTATAGCTATGCAGAAAACATCATATAAGGAGGATAAAATCTAAGAAATTCCGTTTACATTTGAATAATTTTATTGTGGTCAGGTGTATAATAGACAGTAAATTATAAGCCCAATCGTAATTACATTCAGAAATATGATATTCAACCTCAAGGATCTATTATGTCTGCATATATCCTTCCTTTTATCACAACCTTAAGCTATGGTGGCTGTATTTTAACGTTAATTCGATATATGCCTATTACATAATTGAGTTATGTAAGATATGACTTATAAATATTGCGTAACACATGTATATGATACATTGATTAGAGAATGACACAGATAATGCGTTTATCCCACAGACGCGTTGCCGGTGATGTTTAGATTGTGTTAAACACAAGATCAGCAATTTATTGCGATGCAGCTGTGCTACTAGTTTCAACACATCACCCTTCTGTCACACCATTGCAAAATGTCCGCCTGTGGAAATGGTGAGCTCACCTGTGGCCTGTCGGCGCGCCCCTGGCGGTGGCGAGTGGCTCTGCTGAGCACTGTCGCGCGACAACCGCGCGGGGGCGCTCAAACAAAGCAGCACGAGCGGCGGCTGCAGGCCGAAACGCTGAGAGCAAATACAACACAGGCCGCTCTTAGCAAGCAGAGCCCCGTGAACCTCCACCCACCGCCCGGACCGGGCCATGGCGGCGGAACCGTGCTCGCAAATAGAAGCCGGTGGGTAGCACTCTGGCGTTTATACAGCGTCTTTATCGTTAGGAAAACTTTAAAGACTGTTTTAGCATTAGTCTGCAAGGCTAAGCTAGGCTAAGCTAAAGCTAATGACTGCTGTTGTGGTGTTTCTCTCCCTGCAGAACTTTACTACCTGATCGCCAGATTCCTGCAGTCTGGACCATGTCAGAAATCCGCTCAGGTGAGGCCGAAAGTGGCGTGTGAGTGTCGGTGTGTAGCGGCGAGTGTGTGTTACGGTGTGTGTAACCCTGTGTGTGTTTCTGCAGATGCTGCTGCAGGAGCTGCACGAATACGAGGTGTGTTTCAGCCCTCTTCTCCAATTCAATCCCGTTATTTCTCTCTAATATCCCAACATCAGCATCTCCTCTTCGTCCCAGCATGACTGCGTGCCCTAATCCCGCTTGTAATGTGTTTTCCCCCCGCTGTGTGTGTGTGTGCAGATCATCCCGAAGCGCTGGAGCTGGGACGGAGAGCAGTTTAAGCGCAGCTTCGACGACTGGGTGAGATTAAATAAACTATCGCACACATACACGCACGTGAAGTTCAGCTGTAAACTCTCACAGGTGCCTGGCTCACTCACATTAGTGTATAAATCTGAAAAGCGCATAGTTGAGAGTACAATCCCAGTGGTGAAAAAAAATATATATTTGATTTACACGAGCTTGGATTATAGTCTGGGAAAGTTTTAATTTTAGGAATTGATATTAAAGGTATTTGTTTTGAAACCAAAGGCTTTGTGCGTGCCGGCTGGGGGCGTTACGGCAAGAGAAAATATAGCGAGATCTGATTGGTGGGTTGCTGTGTCAACTAAAGGCGGCAGCCAATCAAACCTCAGTTGCTACTTAGAGCCCTGGATAATCAGCGGAGAAGGTTACTGATTGGCTGACGCTTGTCCGTTGATGAAAAAGGGTGGTCTTTTGGGAATGGTCATACAGAAAAGGTTATGTTTGTGAAATGCTGCAGAATTCCTTCTGCTTTGAAATAAATAATACAACATATGATTCCTTTGGCATTCTTAGCCATATTAACACATAAGCTGTCGCTCATTTTATCCCAGCACTTAATCCATCAATTATCTCCCTGTATGTTGTAGGTGTTGTTAAATCAGCACATACCTGCGGATTACTTGTTACGTGTGTGTAAGGAAGTCGGCCCACTGATAGATAAACACATTCCTCCCAGTGTTCCAGGAGTCCACAGTTTACTGGGCACCGGACGACAGTCATTACTACGGACAGCAAAGAGTAAGACGCTCACAACAAACACATCGTGTAAAAAGGAAAATGTTGCAGTTATTACTGTGTAATAATTCTTTCCTTTCTAAAGCAGTTTACCCTCTTGTTCTGTTTCTCAGGTTCCTCTCATACACTATGGAGTGGTTCTGCAGTAGCTGCTCTGCACAGGGGAAGACCCCCAGAACCACCGATCAGCTGTGCCAAATCACCAAATATAGGTGAGTCCTCATCTCCTGGCACTGGGGTTTTCATGTTCACTTTCAGAAATGACTGGCGGATTTGTGCATTGATGGGAACAATACTGAAATGTGCGGTCTTGATTGGTTGAGTTTTCTCAATCTTGTAATGTGCTTACTTTCTGGTGAAAATGACATTTATCTTTGGTGGTGTTTGCAAAAAAATTACATTTAACTCTGCTCAAGCAGGGTTCAAGGCTAAGGATTTTTTCTACTGGTCCGTTCAGGCCAATGGTTCAGATTTTTACTTGTTAATAAGTTAATAGCTCTTTTTTAGCCACAATTGTAAATAATGTGTCAAAATAATGTCTGTGAATCTAGAATCTCAATATTAAAAAATGTTAATAAATGTATAATTAGCCAAACTCAGTATTATGCAAACAAAACGAGCAGTATGGAAAATCTGGAGGTGTTTTATTGCAGTTTGGAAATATTTAACAAAAGGTGGCTGATTGTGCAAAGCATCATCATTGTTCCCACGTAAATATCTGCTTTCAAGACGTTAGAAACAGATATTTTCTTTTAGCCGCATAATTTGTTGTTGCCGTCTCTTCGCTGTACTGGTTGTTACCAGGTTACGAAAAAAATAGCATGCTCAAAGCTGAATAGCGGTGTTTACAGCATCACAGAGAAGGTAGCATTTAAAGACTTAAAAGCACAATCGCAAAATGCACGCAATTGACATATAGTCGCAGGCAAATTAAACTTTAGTGACAAGGCAGCACTGTTCCGATCGGACCACTAATGATCCTGTCTACTGTCCCAAGCATCTCTCACGCTGGCCCAGGGCCATCGGGCAGTCCTTATTGTTAAGCCCTGTCAAGCTTTGCTCATCCAAAATCAACACAAACCCACATTTTGTGTGTAATATTGTGCCTCATATCTTTAAATCAACAACCATTTTATAGAAGCTCTCCTGAAGGTTTTTCCTAATTAAGAATGCTTTGTGCTCAGATCTAATTAACAGTACATGTACATTACATTTTGTCATTTAGCAGATGCTTGTTGAGATGATATATGTAGGTGATAAATGGCAGACATGTTTTGTAAAAGGATCCTCCTATTTACTTATTTTTTTTATTTTATTGTGCAGTTTTTGTGTATGTGAGTATTTGTGTCTATATTAATATTTGTGTAAAGTAGGTATATATATATATATATGTTTTTTTTTTTTTTTTCTTGCTATTTTTGTTCCTTTTTTTGCAATCTGTTGACTACTGCATATGAATGCATGCGAACGTTTATACTGAAAGTTTGTATGTTTTGGGGCTAAGCAATATATAATTTGAGCATCGATATCGCAATGTGTGTATCCACAATATCACAGAATTAGATTATTTATTAAAGATTGAAAGTTAAAGATATTACTAACTTTTTTTTATTGTTTATGCAGTATTGACCATGTTATTTTACATTTAGTGTTCAATTTCTGCACTTGAATGCTGTTTGACTCCCCAGAAAACAGTTTATTTACCTTTTTATTTTTGCTCTGTCGTGTGTATATGCTTTTAAATGTATTATATTTCATGCAAATGTAAAGCATAGAAGACTTCTTCATCCCAGTTAATCTAAATGAATGACATCTTTCCAAATAAAGCTATTCAAATCATATGGTGAAATTAAATTCATATAGCATTGTAGATCACGACAAAACAAAATATATCGCAATGTCAGATTTTTCCAACACCGTGCAGCCCTAGTATGTTTTGTTTTGTTGTTTTTTAATAAAGAATTAATAGCAATAATAATAATAATAATAAAGAATGCTGTAGAGCATGATTGCTGCATCTGAGATTTTTCATCCTCTTGAATATAGTTTTGACTGTAGATGCATCCCAATTTGCAAACTTATCCTCTATTCTTTGCCATATTGTAGTATAAATAGCGCAAGTAGTGCATTAACACTGAAAATTATATAATGAGTGCACTTTAAAAAGTTTTATTTGGCACTAAATTCGTACACTATGTGGTTAAGTATTGTGTAAGTGTATAGTGTGTTAATGCTGTTGATTGTAACGCTGTGAATCTCTCTGCTTAGTGTCAATCATTGGTGCTCGCCAAAAAACAGGAGTGGCTCGATTTGGCCATGCCTTCCCCTCCTGCGCCTATCAGCACATGAAGATGCATCGAAGGATTCTGGG